AGATATGAACATTTAAATTCAAATTTCAATTAAAATTAACGTAAAATTTAAAAATGTAACCTTCGATATCTCTAAACGGCTCAAGATACAGGAACGCGCTTTTGCCTCAATATAGTCCTGTATCAACCCTATCCCACCATAAATTTCGACTCTCAATTCCCAGTAGAAGCGGAGATATGAACATTTAAATTCAAATTTCAATTAAATTAACGAAAATTTAAAAATGTAACCTTCGGTATCTCCTAAACGGCTCAAGATACAGGAACGCGCTTTTGCCTCAATATAGTCCTGTATCAACCCTATCCCACCATAAATTTCGACTCTCAATTCCCAGTAGAAGCGGAGATATGAACATTTAAATTCAAATTTCAATTAAAATTAACGTAAAATTTAAAAATGTAACCTTCGATATCTCCTAAACGGCTCAAGATACAGGAACGCGCTTTTGCCTCAATATAGTCCTGTATCAACCCTATCCCCACCATAAATTTCGACTCTCAATTCCCAGTAGAAGCGGAGATATGAACATTTAAATTCAAATTTCAATTAAAATTAACTTAAAATTTAAAATGTAACCTTCGGTATCTCCTAAACGGCTCAAGATACAGGAACGCGCTTTTGCCTCAATATAGTCCTGTATCAACCCTATTCTCACCATAAATTTCGACTCTCAATTCACAGTAGAAGCGGAGATATGAACATTTAAATTCAAATTTCAATTAAAATTAACTTAAAATTTAAAAATGTAACCTTCGGTATCTCCTAAATTGCTCAAGATACAGGAACGCGCTTTTGCCTCAATATAGTCCTGTATCAACCCTATTCTCACCATAAATTTCGACTCTCAATTCCTAGTAGAAGCGGAGATATGAACATTTAAATTCAAATTTCAATTAAAATTAACTTAAAATTTAAAAATGTAACCTTCGGTATCTCCTAAATGGCTCAAGATACAGGAACGCGCTTTTGCCTCAATATAGTCCTGTATCAACCCTATTCTCACCATAAATTTCGACTCTCAATTCCCAGTAGAAGCGGAGATATGAACATTTAAAAGGTCCGGGTTTTGCTATACTTCGACCCGCTGTGCGTCGTGAAGTTAGCAGACAAATTGAAGATTTTCTAATTCTTTTTTTGTATCATTTGGGAATCATTTAGGTAAGTTTAGGAACATAGTCTCATAGTTTAGGAAATAATAATTTATTAGCAATTAATAAAAATTAATTAAGCATTAAGTTGACAGACATAATAAAAGAAAAATTTTTTAAAATTTTTAATTAACGTAAAATTATTTGGGAAACACGTCTGTAATGTTTTTAACGTTTGAGAAATAATAAGTTTTTATAATAATTGAAAACAAAGATTACATGTGGTACATTTCCAAAGATGGATGGAAATGCACCAATTAGAACGCAGTATTTTCATCCAGCAAGCAATCCAGCACACAAACAAGCACCGTGTGCCGTTGGCTTAACGTTCAGTCTAATATTTAATTTCCTACCCAAGAAAGCTTATCTTCACCCTAAAAAGAAAGTCTTTTTTTACGTCAAATATTTAAGCTGTGCACATAAAAATGAATCGAATAGGTTATTTCTCCCTGTGTCTTATCATACAAGTATTCATTGTTTTGTATATTTTGACTGGTACTTATATTTTATGCTTATCAATAGATTTAGCTAGCTGATTTTTAATTCACGATAACATTAAATGTAATGTTTATGCTCACAAATTTAATAAATTTTACATGTATAGGATACAATATTGATATATTGATATATTGATATATTGAAATATTGATATATTTGATAAGAAAGTGTCACTGAAATACTATACTTTTCCAGGCTTTTAGAAAAATATATAGTGTTGCAGTAACACTTTCTTACCAAATATATTCTTTCAATTACACGAGACGGAAGTGACGAGCACGTCGCGCACGGCTGCTGTTGATGGAATGAGGTCGAATACACGAGGTGCGCGAGTATTATAATACGAAGGACAAAAAGTGTCGTCGCTCGCGAGCCGATCAACACAATCGGCGCGATGTAAATATTGCGGGCCTCGGTGGCGGTTGAAGCAAGAGAGATTTGCCCTTGAGCGTCTCTTCTTTTCTCGAAGGTTCCGAAACGACGAAGGGAATGCTAAGAGGTCTTTCAACTGTATGCGACATTGATGCACTCTATTGATTACTGAAAATAAAGAAAATTATTCTGTCGAAACATCGGATATTTGTTAGCTTTATGTTAATTAAAGAGGAATGTACGATTAGAAAATGTGTTAGCAACTAATTGTACAGAGTGTCAAAGTTGTTGTGACGCCGTTTTCGGAGAATAATTAAAGATCATGGTAGCGTTAAAGAGAGGAATCCCATGCGAATTTTGTCGCGTTCTTATGAAATGTTAGTCCTGTATAAAATGTCGTATTTAAAAGTATTGTTTCGCATTCACGAGATTTTGTCATGAATTCTGCTTTGCGGAAATCTCAGATTGGATCGCGGGCCAATACTTTTCAATGCGACAGGGAATAGAACGTGAAAATCTTGTATGCCTCTGAATCCGAAAACAATTAGGAAAAGAAGTGAATATTTTTCAATACGAAAGTTCGCATTTGAAAATTATCGATTGCGATTGAATACAAGGCATATTTGAAATGAATTGAATCCTTTTTAATGCGAAGCATTCACAACTGCCATCTCGTATTTAGCGCGATGAAATTTAATGAGAACTAATATTTTTTAGTCCCTTTCTTCAGATCAGAAAGCAGAATTCAGATGTCAATATTCAAAATGTCAGTACTTTTTAATATGTTTCAGTTCGACATTTTATACAGAGAGATTATCTGCTGCGGACAATAACTCTTCTACTTTTCATCTAATATTCAATGATGATAAATAACATTTAATTGCATTCGTTTGGTTCTTTTTATTTCGAAAATAAAAAAATATATACCAGGGTGAGATTTCACCCATGACAACATCAACGTGATTTTCTTTGGTTTTTTTTTTAAAGTTCAAATATTTCGTCGTCTCGCGCGATATTTATAATCGGAGTATCGTCGCGTTAATTAACACGTGCTCCTCCGAGCGGATCGAATGCTCACCGACGGCCACTGTCAGTGCCACGAGCGAATGTCCGGAGCGGACGGAATGCTGAATTGAGAAGCAGGACGAAGGGAACGGAACGCGGGCAACGATACATCATGCGTCTCCAGACATGTTAAATCGTTTATTATAGAGGAGACTTTGATACGACAACATGTATTCGAAGATTTAACATTTAATACGTACTTTTATTTTCTCTGTTCCTCCCCTCTTCCTCCCGCTCTTTTTAGACTACCGGGCATAGTCTGGTATAGAGATGGCAACTGTGGTTGCAGCACGGACATAAACCGCCTGAAAATGGATGTAGCACGGACTTCCACCACATGCAGATTTTACCACCGAGACCTGAAAGTGGATGTAGCATCGTATTTTTTCCCCTCTCGAAATGGATGCAGATGGCGTCCTTTCCCAATACGGAAAGTCGATGTCGCAGAAAATGTGTTGGCCGCTCTCAGGTTTCTCTGCTTTGACCCATATTCAGAACATGCTTATAACTATGTTAGTGCGCTGTTAACTAATCAGAAGGTATATTACGTGGCTTTTCATTGGTTAACAGCACGTTAACATAGTTACAAGCGTGTTCTGAATATGGGCCTTTCTTTTTAGAGTGAAGATAAGCATTCTTGGATAGGAAATTAAATATTTGGCTGAACGTTATAAGCCAGCGGCACATGGTGCTTGTTTGTGTGCTGGATTGCTTACTGGATGAAAATATTGCTTTCTGATTAGTGCATTTCCATCCATCTTCGGAAATGTACCACATATAATCTTTGTTTTCAATTATTATAAAAACTTATTATTTCCCAAACGTTAAAAACATTACAGACGTGTTTCCCAAATAATTCTACGTTAATTAAAAATTAAAAAACATTTTTCTTTTATGTCTGCTAATTTAATGCTTAATTAATTTTTATTAATTACTAATAAACTGTTATTTCCCAAACTATGAGACTATGTTCCTAAATTTCCCTAAATGATTTCCAAATGATACAAAAAAAAAAAAATTAGAAAATCTTCAATTTGTCTGCTAACTTCACGACGGTACGCTCCGTTTCGCCGTTGAGTTAACTTAGCGTTGATTATTGAATGTATGACGTTCTTGTCTCAAACTAATTATTTGGTAGTTTGGCTGTGAATACACGGTATTCGCTAGCACTGTCGTGGATGCATGATATACTTTCCTAATACGAATAAATCACTCATTAATTCGATCGTGGATATACGACATTCTCTATATATTGACCGATAATTGTCGCTAATTATTGAAATCTGACCGATAATTGTAGGTTCAGTTATCGCGGACGCGCGCAGCTATTTTATATGATTATACCTACGGTATTTTGAACCGATAATTGTCAATAGATATGCACAAAATGTATATAATACTTCTTCAGTAGTTCACTACTGTGTGTGTGTGTGTGTGTGTGCGCGTGTGTGCGTGCGTGCGTGCGTGTGTGCGCGTGTGTGTGCGCGCGCGCGCGCGCGCGTGTGTGTGTGTGTGTGTGTGTGTGTGCGCGTGCGCGCGCGCGCACGTATCAATTCAATTATATATCAATCAATATCAATTATATAATAAATATTGTAATATATAATGAATTCTATATTAATTAAGATAGGGAAGATAGGAATCAATTATTCTGTACATATCCCCTTTCTCATAGCTGTGTAAATATATATTAAATATAATATTTTTATATCTTCTTTCTCTTTAATATGGATAAAATCCTTTCCTAATCTTAAGATAATAATGTTAGTTACATTCTTCATAATGTTCTCGAATTGTCTCTTTGATAACATTTCATAATTAAATAATATATTACTATATAACATAAATTAATCACGCTCTTTCAATAAAAATAAAATCATTCTGATTCACAATTTCTTTTTATATTTTATAAAATTTACATTCTATGATAAAACATATGTGACATAGATCTTCAATTTTGTTTTGTAGATAACTTAGGTAAAGAATACCAGTATCAAATATTGTTCCTATAAAACTGTCGCTTCAAGCGCAATTGTTGACAATAAAGTTTATGGTTGTGGAAGACTCGTACGTATTCGAATACCGTGCATATCTTTGATTTCTTCTTTAAGAGCCTGCACATATTTGTCAAATGAATTGATTATAACATACTATTACCAACTTCTCTCAGAAAGGATTATTAGTTACCTCGTTAATTATTCGATGTTGCTTCACAGTGTTTAATCCCTTAAATTCTGGGGCGACAACGTTTATATCGAACATAGCACCACATCCTCCTTATGCAATTGAGCAAAAATTAAAATAGATTAATATAATATGTAATGGATGCATAGTATTTTTCATAATAATTGCTTACTACATCTTCTGAGAAAGTTCTTTTCTTGCAATATAGAATAATTTTTACCTGATACATCAGTCACTTCTATCAACACTGCTTCAGGTAACTTGTTCCTAAGGATGGATATCATTTTTTGCTCAGCCTGTTTACCTGCAAGTACTCCACCAGGTCCATTCCATAGCCGAGATAGCAGCTGCAACAGTTTGCTTTTATTCATCTTTTTCATCGCTGCCTCGAATTTGATCATTTATCTATAGCATGCAAAACATTGCTCAAGGAAGACAGTTAAAATTAAAGTTAATGTTAATTTCATCATAATTTTACACTTCCTTTCCTTTTTAATTATGTTTTCTCATCCTCTTTATGTAATTAAAAAATGAAAATAAGGATATTGTGTAAAAAAAGTAACAAAAATATAGCTGAAGTAGAAACAAGTAAGACTTATTTTAATTATACTGTCTATATTCCTTTTTACTTTCTCCTTTTCTAAAATCTCTTAATATAAAATGTATTTTAAATATAGAAAATGCAAATATTGCACTGCTATCGCCTTTCACGTGCTAATTCGTATCTATTAGTAACTTATAATACACTGTCACTAATTATATTATGTTTCAGTCATGTTATTATTTCCAGTCACATATAATATTATATAGTCACTTGTCAGAGAAGAGATAAAAGAAAAGAAAAATACTAATATATCTACAAAAAACAGTCAAAATTCGTGAATAAGTTGTATTCGACCTACCGATATCCCGCGAAAACTTGACTTAAATGCACGTTGAAACATAGCCGAATGAATTGCGGTTGTTGTCTGTTTATTTATCGGGCGTTTATTCTTCCTTCGACTAGATAGACTCGTTGTCAATAAATATTTTTTTTGTCGAGAAAAAATCGACAGAATACAACCGGCTACCATAGACCTACCTAACCTGGTTTGGAAAAGAACAAACTTTAAGTTAACTTAGATTAGGCTAGGTTGGCCGCGCTGATCAGCTGACTTTTTATTACGTACAAGCCACATGACAGTAGGTTGGCCGACAGTACATTGGCTGACTCCGCAGATATCCAAGGCACGTAGATAGCTAACTTGTAGCCCTTGCCTCTTAGGCAGATTCAATTTTCTCCTGAGCTCCTTATTATTCATGTTTCTCACTTTTCAGATTACAACAAGCGAGAATCTAATTTTACATATGTAAGGATAATATAAAATCGGTCGATTCAGTGATTGTACTGTTCGGTGTCATTGCTGCTATTCAACAAATTCGATTAACGAAAAAGATGTCGAGCTTTTCAGATTCATAAAATTCAAACCTACACGATGAAACGCTCCTGTCTACTTGCGATGCATATCTAGTGTTTGATAAATATTTGGTGACGCAGTATTGAGGCAACATATAAGCCTCGTGTCATACTCTGCTCATTGGAACATACAATATTCTTGTGTTAAAGCTATTTTTTTCAACCGAAGAAACCCGACCTCTGCCCTGAGTAATGTGCGTAGATAAAACGTTTTAAGCACCACCCATCACAAAGAACAAAGAAGAAGCGTGTTTTTACTTTAAATCAGTTCAATCTACAGTCACGACGTTTGGGATTGCATTTTTATCTGTAATCGACGTTCAGTATGAATTACGTGACGAACGAGGTTCCTGAAACCGAACGACTGATCACTAATGAGATGTTTTTGTCGACTGCGCCAAGTCCCTCCGCTGTGCATAATAGTGAAACTCGAACAGGTAAATAAATGGGATCATAAAAATGGAAAAAAAATCACACTGTTTCAATACACATTTTCCATTAGCTTTAAACACAAAAATTTGGATATCTAAAGTTCCACTGATAAACTGATCTTTTGTTCCTGTCTAGTCTTATTTCTGGAAAGAGAAATGAGTCACACATACCATAATCAGGGAAAAATTGATATTTATGAATTTGTATCTTGCAGAGAAATATATCGGACAGTATGAATTAACATAAATAGAATGAGAGAACTGATAATGAACCAATTTCATGAGCATATTCATTTCATATTTCAGGTGCTGGAATCTTAGGAACCATTTTTCTAATTGTCAATGCTACACTAGGGGCTGGACTGTTAAATTTTCCTCAAGCATTTGACAAAGCTGGTGGAGTCGGGACCTCTGTTCTGACACAGCTTGTTTTTCTTGTGTTCATCACAGCTGCTCTAGTGATACTAGCCAGTAGCAGTGACTTTATATATGCTGATACTTTGCAAGATGTATTTGCTGGTCTGTGTGGGTCTAAATCACTTATTTTCTGTGGAATATGTGTAGCCCTTTATAGTTTTGGCTGCTGTTTAACATTTCTAATAATTGTTGGCGATCAATTTGACAGATTGTTTGCTACATTTTATGGACTTGACTATTGTCACACTTGGTAACTGCCGCAATAATGAATCTAATTATCTATAAAATTACTCTATCTTATAAAAACAGTCTGTTTAAATTTGCAGGTACTTATCGAGACCATTCGTGACTGCTGTGAGTTGCAGCTTGTTTATATTACCCCTATGTTTTTTTAAAAGATTGGATGTTTTAAGCTATGCAAGTTCCATTGGCTGTGTAACTATCGTGTACTTTGTATGCCTAGTGACTTACAAAAGCATTACTGAGCACCGTAATAATGTGCCACCCATGAAAATCTGGCCGGACAGTGGATATGAAGCTCTACAGTTAGTACCCATCATCTGCTTTGCATACCAGGTATATATATATTTTCCTAATCCCTTTATCTAGATGCTGTATCAGTATTATTTATAAGTACATACAATATTAAAATATAATAATTTTTGTGTGATACTACAGTACAATAATAATTTATATATAGGCCTCATTATCATTGTAGGGTTATCTAAAAAATTGCCAAGTAAATTATAACCCATAAAAAATATGGGTAACCGATTATAATTTAATCATCGATTCAAATTATTAAATGTAACTCAATACACATCGATATAACGCAGCATGTGTGCGTGTATTTTATGTCTACAGAGCCACATGACCGCGATACCAACCTACGCCTGCATGAAAGATCGCCATCTGGGCAAGTTCATTCTGTGCGCCGTCATCAGCATGCTCGTCTGTTTCGGCGCGTACACCACGGTGGGCATTTTCGGATACGCTACGTTCGGTTCAGGTCGTGTGCCGAGCGATATCCTGCAAGGCTACGATGATAAGAGTGTCGTGCTGGCGGTGGCGATAATCGCTGTGGCCGTAAAGAACTTCACCACCTATCCTATCGTCCTATACTGCGGTCGAGATGCGCTTCTCGGTATCTCCGACGTGGACCTTGATCGAACTGGTGTTCGAGCGGCCGTCACCTTGGTGTGGTTTATCTCATCGTTGGTCATCGCTATCTTGGTACCAGACATCTCGCCGATGATCTCTCTGTTGGGATCATTGTCTGCGATATTTATCTTTGTACTGCCCGGCATTTGTCTCTTGCAAAATGTGCTCTTGAAGGATCCGCAATTGTATCTGAACAAGGACCGCTTGATGATAATTTTTGCAATTTTCTTGACCGCACTCGGCGCTTTCGCATGCGGTGTCGTTTTTGTAGAGGCTCTCCATGATCTGTACAAAAAGCCATTCGAGCCCAATCATCTGGTCACCGGCTTCAGACAACTCAAAGAGAGTTTATGCGTTTGATTAGGATTAGATTTATACGGGCTCTCTCGAAACACGCGATGTAACCTGCGTGATCTGCGAAACTTGAAGATTCGTCATTATTAAAGTAACAATAAATTAAGGATTGTTAGCTCTCTAAAGATCTCGTACGTGAAGCTGGGATAATATTAGGAAAGTTGATCTTTGTAATTCTGCCTCATTCAATCAGGTAAGACGTCAGAGAAAGAGACTGATGTATATACATTTTTATTAGTAAGTTTTTCTTTTTTTTACCGATCGACTCGTACGCGAATTTTTAAGTAATAATATAAGGACGAAGATGGATGTCCTTCTATCGAAGTGTGCTCAATAGTAATCGATATGCTGCATTTGTGGATATAAATAAAGCTTCCTTTGATACTCTTTTTACAACAATTTGCTGCCGCTCTCAATTTATCCTAATCTTTACAGAGGAAGGAAATATCTCTTATCGTCATACGACTAAAATTATACGTCAATTTTGTTCGGTACTCAGTGCACGATGCATTGAGAATATTGCGGAATTTTAACAGAGTTTCAATACAGTATACACGACCTTTGAGATACACGTGTCGCTGGATCAAGAAGTCGCTTTCGAGGTCGAGAATTCATCGGTAAAATCGTGCAATAAGTTCCCGCTTAAATCCTCGACTTTGTCTATGGTCGCTTTGCAAAAGAAGCACTCTCTGGCGTTAAGCAGATGACGATCTATGCAAGTGCGACACGTTTGATGATTGCACGGTTTGAAGGTCGCAGCGATTGGGAACGCGTAACAAATCGTGCAAGTATCATCGTCGTCGCTTATCATTTTGGCTTCTGGTAACAGCGTACGACACGTGTCGAGATAATTTATCATCTTTTTCACTCGATCAATTTCTCCCACTGTTACGTCTTCTTCATCTGCGAATAGAGAGAAAGAAGATGAAGAAATAATATGAAGTTATCGTTATCGTTATACTTTCAAGAAGAAACAAGTTGTCCGTTATTCTCTTTACCAACTTTCAAAGATTTCTTTCTCTACTTCCGTGCAAGTACGTTAGATATACTTACAGTTCGAGAGCGAGAACGGTTTCACGTTTTTCGCTTTTGTGTTTTTCAGTTTCGTGTCGCCCAGAACAAAGTACAAAGAACTGATCTGGAAGCTGGGCTCTGTCAGTAAGCATCGCGTAATTTTCGGCACTTCGACTGACGGTTTTGCTGATAAAAGTAGAACACATTCATTAAGATATACTCGGTACAAACAGCAAACGGAGGTTGCATCTGCACTGAGATTGTAGTACTTGCCTGCGAAAGTGGACATCTCCTTCTCGAGTAATGCCAGCAAGATACCGATAACAGCGGCTAATATGGGAAAATGGTCTACCGACTCTAGATCCGGTATTTCTAATAGCACTACGTGTTGGAAACAGCTCGTCTGCGAGCTCATTCTGTTCAACACTTGGCAAAGTAACTACAAGAGGAGCAACGTGATACGATCAATGCGAATACGATGTATGGATCGTGTCAAGACATCGTCCACTCACCTGACATAATCTGGTCAACAAGGTCTCACTGGAAGACTGCGCAGGATCGTTGAAAACACTCGGTGCCACCGTGGAGATCATCTCCAGCACTCGGAGCAACGAGATCGCTAGATCGAAGCAAGTTGCACAAATCTTCAACTGTCTCGATTCGATGAATACTCGCTCCGGTCTCGACGACACGTTGTGGATTTCCTGCACCATTCCGATAAACTCGGAGAACGCCCAGTTCAATTGATTCAACAGGGAGTTTAAGAACTGCGTGGTCGCTTGCGGATTTTCCAACAGTACATCTCTCACGTGCGCTTGGTACACTGCAGACGGGCATGGTTCTGAAAAATTACAATAATAGCTCATGGCATATTTTATCTTCCCTGAAATATAATCTAAAGTTATCGTCAGGACTGAAAAAGTTATTTTTTATTTATAATGTAATAACTCTACTATAATAATAATTAATAACTCGCGCGTTACTCATATTGGAAAACAGTTGTTGTTGCTGCTATCGGCAATAAAAAGAAGCAAAAAACACGAGTCATTAAAATTGTTTTAAATTTCTTCACCACGTTTCTTCATTTCTTTTACAATACAATAGTTATTGGAAAAAAATTAGAGAAAAAAAATGGTTTTACAAAAACGCGTTACTTCTCAATCCTAGTTATTATATCACATCGTATTGTCTAACTTCCACATTTCGGAGGAAGAAATACGTACTTATAGGCTGCGAAATGGATTCTTGCTGCAACAACTTCGGGCCGACCTTCTTCGACAGATGCGGACTCTTCTCGTAACGAAAGGCGAAGCCGTTACCTTGCCAAAATCTGACCAATACCCAATTGGACTGCGCCCAGGCACGATTCTCGTAGGGCTTCAGCAGGTTCGTGACAACCTTAATCCTACTGTCGCGCGGCACGTTCTCCAACGCCTCCAACGTCAACGGATTGGATACGAATCCGGCGAGCGTCAGTATCAGCATGTCTTTCGAATTGGCATGCACTATTCGCGGATCCAAGAAGTGATCGCACAGAAACTCGGCGGCGTTCAGCAGCATCTCCCGGTAGTCTTGTATGTTCTCAATCGGCGTGGTGGGATGCACGTGATTACGGAGGGCGACGCACAGATTGGCCAACACCTCCAGGTAGAAATCGGGCACGAAGCTGAACATGTTGCCCTGCTGGCTAGCTGTCTGCAGGGTCAGCGTGACCACTCGCAGCAGCCACGCCAGTTGCGCCTGCTTCTCCTCTGAATATACAACCGCGCGTATCCATGCCATATGCCTCGCTTGTTCTGATAACTTCGTGTTGAATACACCTATCGTGCGTAGTAACTCTCGCTGCGTCGCGGCCACGTCCGGGTCTTTCGTCGTCCCCTTTTTCACGAGCTCAAGCCTCGCCTTGGTGTCGGCGATCGCGTTTATGTACTCGGACATATTGTCCCGCAGACTGGCCACTTTGGCCAGCTGCTTCTTCGCCGCTACATGGTAGAACAAGATAATACCGTCTAATAATTCCATCAACGATATTGCCGGATCTGCAGGACCGTAACGTATTGGAGTCCTATCTTCTCTAATATGCGGAAAGAATCCCAATCTTTCCAGTATCATAGAACTACCTTGGCTCGGCGGGTTGATGTTAATTAGACGAGGATATGCGGCAGGTATCGCCACGGGCAGGTCAGCCAGTCTCGCGGCCGCGCCGACGGCAGCGGCGGCTGCGGTCGTATATGCGCTCGACGCTTGTTCGTGCGCCGTAGCCATCTGTTCCATGGCAACGATTACCTCATGATCTGGACCTAGGAGGCGTAGCAATTCGTTCTTGAATGTCTTGTTTAAGTGGGTTATTACGCCACCGAGTCTGTCGATTCCAGTGTAATTGATCGATGCATCGTAGAACGCCCTGCCCATTCCAATTTATAAGGAAATGCTATTACGTAAATTAAACGTGGCTCAATAATACTTGCGAATAATAGTAATAATGTACGAAGCGAGTGCTTTCATTTGGTAAAAAGACAAGAAAATAATCTAGAGAAGAAGGAAGAAAAAGAAAAAGGTCAGAGAAGAACTAGTTGCGGAGTATCAATATGTACATGGGTATACGCAGCTGTTCGCGGCAAAACAAAAAGTAGCGAGATGCAAGCGTTTAAAAGCATTTCAGATATATCAAATATATATATATACAATTGTATATATTGTGTGTGTGTGTGTGTATATATATACTGGATGATCCGAAATTCCTGCATTCGAAGTACAGGACATGATATTTTATGCTAAAACAAACAACTTTTTTCTTTAGCAAAATTGCGTCCGACAAGCAGTTTTTGCAGGAGAGCGTGTTAAATTTAACGAATAAGCGCTCTACGTCTACGTAGCGCTCAGGGCCGGCGCGCGCGCCTCACTCGCGTGTACCTAGTCCGTGATTAGTAATCATAAGTAGTGTCTTTTAAGACGCTCATACGGTTCTGTTGTGATTAGTTTACGACATTTTAAGACTGTGCTTAAGACAATTTTAAATAATAAGAATCAATTATGAACAATACCGGGATTTGACCCGCTTTCGTATTTGTATTGCTTAAATAATGAAAAGTTAATAAAATAAGTATTGCCTTTATTTCTTACGTAATAAATGAATAAAATATTGTCTGGTTGCACAATATTATCTGAAAATAAAGACAAATGTAAACAGTAATATGTTTTGCGAGCTGTGAGCATTCTATTATTTCAAATATTGCACAATTACGTGATAATTAAGTAGTATCATTAAACTTAAAGATTAATTTACTGATCAAGCATATATATATAGGAGTACACATATTTGTAACAGTGATTAAAAATAAAATATTTGAATTAATGTCTTTTAAGAGCTCTCTTTTTATTTTTTTATAACAGAAAATACAAAGAACTTATTTAAAATTCAAATTGTGTGATATATTCACGTCACGGTCTACATTTATTTATTATTGCTTATGCACGTTAGCCTTTCAATATGTACTTTCCTTACATGTTTCGATTATTGCGAGGAATATTGCTATAGCCTCAATGATTTATTTTCTTAACCAACTTGACTATTGAGGCTATAGCAATATTCCTCGCAATAATTAAAACATGTAAGGAAAGTACGTATTGAAAGGCTAACGTGCATAAGCAATAATAAGTAAATGTAGACCGTGACGTGAGTATATCACACAATTTGAATTTTAAATAAGTTCTTTGTATTTTCTATTGTAAAAAAAAATAAAAAGAGAGCTCTTAAAAGACGTTAATTCAAATATTTTACTTTTAATCACTGTTACAAATATGTGTACTTGTATGTATACGCTTGATGGGTAAATTAATCTTTAAGTTTAATGATACTACTTAATTATCACGTAATTGTGCAATATTTGAAATAATAGAATGCTCACAGCTCGCAAAACATATTACTGTTTACATTTGTCTTTATTTTCAGATAATATTGTGCAACCAGACAATATTTTACTCATTTATTACGTAAGAAATAAAGGCAATACTTATTTTATTAACTTTTCATTATTTAAGCAATACAAATACGAAAGCGGGTCAAATCCCGGTATTGTTCATAATTGATTCTTATTATTTAAAATTGTCTTAAGCACAGTCTTAAAATGTCGTAAACTAATCACAACAGAACCGTATGAGCGTCTTAAAAGACACTACTTATGATTACTAATCACGGACTAGGTACACGCGAGTGAGGCGCGCGCGCCGGCCCTGAGTGCTACGTAGACGTAGAGCGCTTATTCGTTAAATTTAACACGCTCTCCTGCAAAAACTGCTTGTCGGACGCAATTTTGCTAAAGAAAAATGTTGTTTGTTTTAACATAAAGTATCATGTCCTGTACTCCGAATGCGGGAATTTTTGATCACCCTGTATATATATATATATATATATATATATATATATATACAAATACACACACATAAAATATGCAAAAGCGCTTCATGAAAATATATTAAATTGACTGAAAATGTCTACGTTACTAAAGTAGGGAGTCGATTCCATTTGCTAGTGTATATGTGTCTGATAACACTCGTAACGTAATGCCTTATCACCTGCAGGGTATATAGACAGGGCTTGTTCCAATTTCAGTGTCCCATAAAATTCTGAATGCAACCAGAAGTCGGTGAAAGCAACATAATGTGATCGGCAAGGGTGTCTGCAGAATTCGTAACGTATCTGCAGGATTGCTGACTGATTTGTTCGATATCGCGCGGACGATTCGCGCGCAAAGAGTTTTTGTATTTACTGATACATTGTCTACTTACGCGACTGGATATCAGGTTCTCATTAATGAAGCGTTTGAATTTTCTTAAAAAGATAGTTCTCGAGGCCGGCTGTTTCGCCGTGCCGTCAGTATTATTCAGTAGAGTGACTAGTAATTCGACTTGTAACGCTTCTACCTCTGCAAAGGAAAGTGATTAGAAAACATTATGGAAATCTGTCTTTAACATTTTTTAGAGTAAGACTTTTGTGGTATAATGTAATCATACAAATAATTATAACTCATAATCGTATTTTAAACAAGAGAAATGCAAATATGTTACATCTTACCAGATATGGCAGCTTTGATGCGCTCGCAAGCGTAAAGATAATCGCCCTTATTAGCCTCGATAGTCGGATCGACGGGATTCGTCTTCCACCAGACCTTGCCTACTACGTCCGCTAGTCCGCCCTCATCCAATGGCTTTACGTGTACGAAATTGGCGAATCGCACACGATCGAACAGTAAATATTGCAACAAGTGTTGACGTGTGACGGTGTGCTGACAGATTCGAGTCAACAGCATCAAGCTCTTGCACTGATCGGGATACTCGAGCAGTAGAGAAACATGCCTGAATGTGGAAAGTAAATGAAGAACCGTGCTCTCCAAACACATCTTGATCTCCTGCTCCTCCAAAAACGTCCACAGCAGATCCAGACAGATAATCGGCTTGGCGCTGTGGAAATTGGAATATAACGACTTCGTTGTTACCATATAGTCAGTGTTTAGATTGCACAACGCCTGCATAAACGGCACAAAGACCGCTTCCGTGATGTAGGGAACAGTGAGTAGCGGCCCGATGTGCTTCAAGATAGACCTCGCTAGACACATAAGAAATGCCTGAGCACTCATCATTTTGTCCTCCATCGGAATATTCTGTTTGTCATGCTGCTTGTTCTTTAGTTGTTCCAACAGTTCGATCATTTGAGACAACCATTGAAAGAGGAGAGTAGCCTGCAAAACTTGTGCCGTCGGTGGTGCCTGTAGTGGTTGGTAACCTTTCACAGGATATCTGAAGGGTATAGAGCCAAAGTTGGCTGTTAGGTTCTCGGTGAAGGCCAAACTGACAGTGGGAAAGTATGCGATCCCGGCGCCTATCGGTACGTTCTCGAACGCTCTGCCCAGACTTCTACCGTTCCTATAGAAATCTATCGTCCCATCGTCCATGTCCAACGCACAGCCAATGATATCACCTGTTAACCAAGACTCGCCGTACTTGTGCGTCGTTACGTTCCACTTTCTCATGCGATTTCCGTCATAAGCGTATGAATTGGCAGTATCACCTGAAAAAAAAAAAAAAAGAAAAATAAGAAATGTTAATAATCAATATAGATCTCGACCTGATGCTGTATTCTTCATGTATTTGTTTAGCACACAAAGCCACAAAGAACTCAAATTGAGCATTTTTCTATAGCGCGAAGCCTGAAATATCAGAAATGTCAATGATGAAGATTGAAACACAAATAAATTAAACTCTGTGAGAAGACTGTGTTCTCCTACTTGTAACAAAGATATCCGACAGTAATTATTTTTATGTTTTTTTCGATCTTTTACGTACCAACACCAAATTGCTGATTAAATTTGCATTGAGCAGTCCCCCAACCCACTTGCATCACCCCCTTGGATCCAAGTTGTACTTCATACATCCACTTTCCTTTAAAGACTGCAGTGTTGGCTCGCATTGTGCTGAAGCTACTTTGCGAATTAACGCTCAGCCGATCGGGAGAGACGATGCAGAGACCATGGTGCATTGATATATCGAATCTAACGACATTAGGGCCTATACGACCTTCTCTGTTATCCTCGGAATTCCCGGTGTCGATATAATTTAGCAGAGATTTTCTGATATAATCATTCACCCGAATGAGACTGTGCGATGACCTGAAACATTAGTTAGCATTGGTAACGATTATCCCAGATAGCACAAAAAATCCTGAGATTATCTTGGATATCCTAGAATATCCCTGCGGTATATACATTGAATCAGAATTATTCCAGAATGTTGTGTACTGCCTAGGTGTGCCTAGATATAATCACTTTAGCTGTTTACAATCTTTATCACAGAGTACTTTGTTGAGACACGTTAAAAATATGTACGTGTACCTTTTATCATTCCGATGTACAAAAAATAATGATGATAAGAGAACTATTGTCTTATCATATACAGCACACATATGCATGATATACACAATATACACAAGGTCACTGCATTTTTCCTGTTCTGTGCACCTTCTTACAGTTCCCACGTTTGAAATGTGAATATAGTGAATCACGAGGAGGAGAAATGACAAAACTATAGGAGCGGGAAAACAACACACGGAAATAACGAACGAGAATATCCGTACCTGGTCGTTGCAAGATGATCCTCCTTGGATCTAGCCCCGGTGACGTGCTCGATGATGGGGCCCGTACCGAAGACTCTACGCAGAATCTCGTCGGTGTTCATCATTGCCACGGTGCAAATTTATCGAGTGATCAGCAGAGAGGCGTGCGAGTGGGCAAGAGGCCAGCAGATGAGCAGGTTAATTTGGTAGTCGACGCGACGACATTCTCAAACGAGCAACTCCGCGATCGAGTTCGCCTCATCCACGTTGATTCGCGTCGTTCCAGGGAAACGGCGGCGGCAAGGCGACGGGGATGATGGATAGTCTCGACGACGATACTGATTTCGTCAAGCTCGTATCGACGGAACCGCCGATGCCGCCATGTCCGAAGCGAACGATGAATCGCGCTCGCGAGAAGTGTTGGCTCCCGTCGCAAACTTCTCGTTATTGACACGGGAACGGACGAGCGAGCGCGCGCGCGTTGACGTGTCATACTCCTGGCGCTCGAGCCGCAACCAGGTGGCAGCTGGGAGCAGCAGGGAGGGAGGGAGGAGGATATCAGCTGATGCATCAGCCGGTTGCGTCCGCGCAGCATCAATGACAGATTAAAGGGGTCCGGAATTCCGGAGGAACGTCAGGGATAATATAGTAAGTCACTCGCTATATGACTTGTAAAATCGCGGAGCTGCGGCGAGTATCGATCGCGAGAGGACGGACGCGCCGCAGCAGACTCGCTAATTTTGCGTACGTTACGCGCGTTTCACACCCGGCCCGGTTTGTCGCAATCGTTGTTATCTTGAGATCAGCACTGGCATTTAATTGTATTCACAATCTGTCCGGCTGATTCGTAACGTCTGCACTGCGTATTATCTTCGAGCAGTCTCGTATATCGGCAATTTTATCTCAATAAGGATAGAAATATTCGTAAGATAAGACACGCTATTTGCTGGTGAACGATTGAAAAATCCAAAGAGCAACGATTAAATCATATTAGAGAACATCTCGAGCGAATGTCTCGTGGAATATTCGTTTCGAGGCGTGTTCGTTGTTGAAAATACTCTTCTGTCAAGTTTGAATCGATAGGTATCGAAAATGGCGGAAATCGAAGATGAATACGAGGGAGACGCAAGTCGGGTAGACTGTAGGCGCGGGAATCTTGTGACGGGAATCGGGACTTGTGACAAGAATGCTCGCACGTGAATAATAGTATACAGCCTGTAAGTTCGTTTATTACGATATCCATAATGTCATTAGCCTTAACGGGAGAGATTATCGATTAAGCTATTACGCTCCTCTCGGATCCACTGATAAGACGTGGCTACGCTAAAATTATTACGCGTTAAATTACGTTACAGATCGTTTAAAAATCGTTATTATCGTCCGACGCGTTCGGCGCCGTGTAAAAAAAAGAAAAAGAAACGATAAAGAAAAGGAAACGGGAGTTGATTACTATATAAACGCAGTCCGCGGGTACGATTTAAAACGAAAAGATGTGGGCGGGGAAAAGAACGAAGGGGACAGCATCTAAAAAACAGTCTCGAAACTCCATAAAGATCTCGAAAATTATTTTACAATCAATGGAGGGAGCAGGGCGGAGGGCGGGGGCGCGTATTCTTGGCTTTGGTATTTCTTAGTGCGGTGGGGTATAGCGCCTGCAATGTTCGGCGAGCCCAACATCAGCCAGTATTATCGCACTCGAATTTTTCAAATCGGAACTACTCTCCATATCCGATTGTTGATGCTCTTTCTTTCTCTTTTCGTACATATAATTTCGAGTATCCCGCCGGCCGCTGATTGTTAATTTTAACGACACGTTCATACGCCGATATGGAATTGATTTTTCCTCGCGATCGAAGCGTCACCGCAAACAGCAAACCATTTGAAATGGAAAGATATTCGTGCGCAAAGTGCGTATCTTTGAAATACGACCGAATAAAAAGTATCATCAGCGTGTCTCGAGGTTGAAGCGAACTCTACATTCCTTCGAAGAATCAATTCCAGATTCAACCGCAAAAGAATATTGAGATTTACTTGGAATTATTCGATCGAACGTCGTAGGAAGTAGCGGTAGAATTAACAGAAGGAGACAGAGAAAGAAATCCCGTTTTCACGAAATTATCTGGAGATACCAATCGGGAACGAGGCTCTCGCGAAATCCTCCTACGCAGGGACGCCGTGATCGCGATTGAGATGAGAGCACCGGTGATCGCGCGGTAATACGGACGACGCGAGGAACATCGCCGAGCACGTGCTAACATTTAGTTGATACACACATAAAGTGAGAGGGCATCGCGGAATTTATCGCGTTTCATCTCGGAGACACGCTCGAATCATCGAATCACTGATCCGCCGTGATTGATCCAGTGTCGAGTGTGAAAATCCTCGCGAAAACTCGCTCGCAGGAACGCACGCATACGCTAATGCCGTCGTAACATTTGCGCGTCGGTATACATTTCGTGTGTTAATTAATGTACGTGTATACGATACGCTATCGTTAAATCACGAGTACACAGACCGACATAGTGGTCCCGACGCATCACGCGAATTGAGTCAATCGGACTTCCCAAACGTGCGCGATATTGCTTACTTGTTTATCGATTAGCTCAAGGAAGCGGGAACGATGTGTCAAGTGTCGGCGTATCTGTCACACACAGCGAAAGCTTCGCGTTCATGCTCGGAAACAAATGTGTGTGTACATTCAGAAGATACCACCAACCTAATTGTAGCGAATGTTAAGACTATTATGCCGGTCTGTGCGCATTCGTTTGCGAAACGCTCATGAATGAGGGCGAATCCGCTGCTCACGAAGCTGCTACACGGGATAATCCGTTATAACAGCAGCCGAAGTGACAATATACTAGGGGGGGGGGCACGCGTGTGCGACAAAGCAACTGCAGAGGAGGATTCGAGAAAGGAGTGAGTGTGTATGTGAGTATATTTTATTGTATTCTTATATATGTCAAATAAGAACGTAATAAAAAGTCAACATGTACGCCGTCACTTCGGCTCTCATCCTGAGACATCACCGTGCAAGCTCGTGCAAACAGCGGCGCGCAATTGTGACAATTTGATACGCTCCGAACTTCATCGAAATATGTTCCAAACATCTCGCAAACGAGTGCATACAAGTTTCCTCATTTTCTCGCTTTTTTTTCTATTTTTTTTTTCTTTTCGATCGATCGATTACAGGGAGAGGCGATGCGTGAATATGTCGAGCTGTTACATAGAGGGTTGTCTCTTCTTCTCTCTTCATCTGTTTTCTTTTCCTCCGTTTTTTCCTCCTTTTCCCTTCCTCGTTTTTCTCCTTCCTCTTCTCTCAGCTTGAAATTCGATCCCGGGATTGAGTAACGGCCTACAACGCCATGTCAATCGATAAATACTAGCATTGTCGTCATCGTCGTCGTAGTCACCTAGCTATTCTCCTCTTCCCCCTTTCGCTCTATATCTCGGATATATCGAACATCGCTGTTTTGGATAGTTAGTACCTATAATTAAGACGGCACGCGGTATACATAGTAACGTACCCTATAGTAAACTTACGGTAAAGTCGCGGGACTCGCGGGACCCCGACCCTCGTCTCTCACTCACTCACTTCCGCTCTGACGCGAGATACGAACTCGCGTTCAAGGGTGGTGTGTTGATCGGGCGGGGAGGGCTGGGGAGCAGCTCTTGCTCTTCCTCTCTTCTTTTCTTGCCTCTTCTCCTTCCTCTTCTTCATTCTTCCTTTTTTCTCTTCTTTTAAAAAAAACTCATACTAACACTCGTTCGCGCGTAAAGGAACCATCAAAACGCGTTCGCCGCGTCTCGCGACTTACGATATATTCGTCAAGAGCAACAGGCAGGAAAATCCAGGCATGCGGGCACGCGCTAAAAAATAAATTACATCCAACGTTACAAATTCGCACACACATCGACTAAATATTTTACTTGCCAAGATTCTCATATTCTTCGATATTAATTCTCTCTCTCTCTCTCTCTCTCTCTCTCTCTCTCTCTCTCCCTCTCTCTCTCTCTCTCCCCCTCTCTCTCTCCCTCTCTCTCTCTCTCTCTCTCTCTCACACACACATACATACACACACACACACACACACACACACACACACACACACACACACACACACACACGTACACACACGCACGCACGCACGCACGCGCGCGCACGCACGCACGCACGCACGCACGCGCGCGCACGCACGCACGCACGCACGCACGCACGCACACGCACACCCACACGCACACCCACACGCGCACACACACACACACACACACACACACACACACACACACACACACACACACACACTTTCGCTCTTCCACTCTTTCTTTGTCTTACTCTTTCACTCTCTCTTTTTCTCTCTCTTCTCTCTCTCTCTCTTTCTCTCTCTCTCTCTCTCTCTCTCTCTCTCTCTCTCTCTCTCTCTCTCCCGCTCATTCTTTTTCATTATTTTTTTTCTTATTCTTATCTTCGCTCGATGACTAGAAACATCGCTTCGCGGATCATTTGGTAAAAAAATTATGCGAAAATGGAAAACATCTGTAGAAAAAATAAACTCGCCACCGCGCGGATAGCATCGCGGTCTCGCACATACTACTATTCACTAAAAGATCCGCTCGTGCCAAATTTAGCACCGAGATTTAGCGCGATTAGTATGCGCGCGAGCGCGCAGACACGCACCGGACCGCGCTATCCCGCGGTGGCTTTCCTTTCTTCTCGGGCACGGTAATTAATACAGTAGAAGTCCTCGCGACTGGGCGGAGTAACTGGTCGATGGGTGGTCGCGCTTATCGCTAATCTACACGCTACCGTCTCGAAATGGCGTAGTTTCGAATTCGCAGCACGGTCTCGCCTTGGCCTCCGGCAAACGGCCTAGTTTTTCGCCTTTGTTTTTCATCCCATTGTTTCCATTCTGCTCTTTTATTCGCAACCCGCGGGATTTCGCCGCGCGAGAAGGAACAGTTATTGTCAAGTACATCGTTCGGAAGCGGTGTGGACACGCGAGATAAATCGAAATTGGTCTGATGAAAATTAAGAGGGGAATATCATGAACGTAGTCGAGGACATCGGCTTCGCGAGAGCGATGCGACGGTTGGTCCAGTCCCGTCGTGACGGCTGAGCGCCGCTCGGCCTCGCTTCGAAAAATCCGCGCGTGTCGGGGTGGTTCGTACTAACCCCCATCCCTGTCTCCAAGAAAGAAGGAGAGACTGGACCTTTCTCGCGCGTCGCTCTCGTTCGTGACTCGAGAGATACGTTTCCCGAGTCGCATTCGGAGACCGACTGTACACTCCGGCTGCAAGTGAAGTCTCACGACGGCTCCGAGAGACAAGAGAGCGACGACATCCGGCCGATTGCCGGGGCCAAACGCTCCGACCGAGCGCGACAGTAAAAAAAACCTCTTGTCCGGCTCCGATGATGATTACTTATGGCAATCAGTTAATTGGCCTGTTCCGCGCTCTGCGCCTGCTTCTCGATCTTGCGCGCGAGCTCAGGGCTCATGTGCGGGTGCGGGAACGGCAGCACCGGTTTGCGCAGGATCGTCGGCTTGACCTTGACCTGCGGCTTGAACGTCGACACCACCTGGCTGCCGCCGGTCAGATGCATGTCGGCGAACTTGGCGACTATCTTGGGGGTGGATCGCGGCGGTAGGGGTGACTTGAGCGGCACTCCGCCGCCTCCCCCGTCAGCGAGCTGATTCGAACTGGCCGACCGCACGATCTCGTCGTTCTCGATCGCGTCGATCGCGCCGATCTCATGATCCGCGGTCTCCACCCGCTTCAACTTGCCCGCAGAGTCCGAGTTGGTCTTCGTGTTCTTCTTCAGCGTGCACTGGTTCTGCTTGGCGAAGCGTTCGGCGGCGGTACTCATGTCCGGCGACTCCGGGCCGCCGGTGGGCGAGGTGGCGGCCTCAGCGCGCGCTGGCGCCATCGGCAACGACGTCGGCGTCTCGTCGTCCGAGCTGCTAAGGCTGCTGGACGAGGCGGACTTTTTGCTGGCGTCCTGAGCGGAGAGCGGCAGGTCCATCACCAGGTCAGGCGTATGCTTCTGTCGCATCTCGCGAAACTCCTGAGACGTACGAAAGGACTTTGGCGTCGGCGGTACAGCCGGGTTTAGCTGGGTCTGCGAGGTGGCGCGACGCTGCCAGAGCTCGCGGTTCGCCGAGAAGTTGGTCGTCGTCGCCGTCGTCGTCGTCGTCGTCATCGTCATCATAGCCGTCGTCGTCGTCTCCTGTTGTTGCTGCTGCTGCTGTAGGTCGTCGTCCAACGTTGTCGTCGTTGTCGTCGTCGATGATGACAACGAGTTCGCGTGGGTTAGCTGCTGATGCTGCTGCGCTACGACGTTCTCGCCGACGCTCTGCGACTTCCAATGCTGCTGCTTGCGACCGGTGCTCGCGCGTTTCGCAGCGCCGTCCAACGACGACATCGTCGACACGCATTCGCCCTGCTCCTCGTTGACGACGGTCTCCTCGCTGCCGCTTCCGCGTTGTGATTGCTGCTGAGCGTTCGTGTCTGTCCCGTAAACGGAGATCTTGCTGTTGTTGCTGCCACCGTCGCAGCAGTCGACGTTGTTCTCCAGCGCGATCTGGAGAACGCCGTCGGCGCGATGGTGCTCCGACGACGAGTGCCTCTCGTTCTCCGGAGTGGACACCCTGGCCAGCCTGGACGGCGTCGCGGAGTCCTGCAAACAGTCAGGCGGAACAATCGTAGCGAGACTTGGCGCGCGCGCGCGCGTACAGCGAGAGAAAGCGCCGGGGGGCTCTAAATGGGTGTCGCCTGAAGTCGAGAGACGGACGGGTCGTTTACTATTGCGGGGAATACGCAGATTCTACGGAGTCGTCTTGTTCTACCGATCGTGCGCGCTGTAATGAGATACGAATTATTGTATTGTTGTCTGTCTATCGAATCTGCTTGCTTCTTTATTTTTACACAGCGAGTCTCTCGCCGCTAACGGACCAGTGCTCTTGTGTTCTCCGTCACAAACGCCACATACGGTTCGTGCTGCAAACCGGAAAATGCAAGACGTCATTTCGTTGGATATCAAGAGCCTTCAAGACAGCTCTGGTTCTAAATGAAACAGATAATACAGGAGAACGTGAGAGACGTGGGCAATGAAATTTATTCCTCTTTGAATTTTCAGCTTTATCCCGCTTTGATCAGTGGTTTCCAAAATCGTTGATGCATTTAACGTGTGTACATTAAAATAAAAGCAAAGAAATGGGAAGATGCGTCGAAGAGACGCACGAATCGTTCGCGGGGAATGACCGCAAGAAAAACTCGACGACACAATTGTACAAGAGACACTCTGTGTCTCTGAGAGGCTGTCCGGTAGCGGCGAGACAACACGCATACACAACGTTTCCACGTAAACACGTGTAGATACAGAGATTGGGGGCAGTGAGTTGGGTAATTTGTGAGAGATTGACAACTGCACGATGTACACAACGTGAGATATAAATACCGTACGAAAAAGGTGCCGTCGGTCGGATCGGGCAAGGTACACCGAAACTTGGCTCCATCAAGCTACCCGTACGGCCAATCGTATTGCCAATCCAACGCGACACATCGTGCAACGCGATCATCGCGAAGTGATCAGAGTCGTCGCGTGACTCTCAACACGATTGATCCAGAGTAGTGTTTTCGGAGATCTCACGGAGGCACGCACGACGCTTATCCGGAGCTTATCGCTCGCATGCAAATAGAGATACGCAAGAGTCGAAGGCAGAAGGGAATCGGATAAAAAAAGTACACACACATGAGGCAGTAACCATTAAGGAGACAGGATTAAAAACTGCTCGTAAAACTGAGACGAATAGAAGCGGGCAAAACGTACCGGCGCAAATAACGATGGATATTAGTTCACCTATCTCTTTCTGTCTCTATCCGATGTCCGAAGAGGAAGGTGCTAGAGTCTGGGGGTCTGGGCGGAGGGGGAGGTTAATAAAACGGACTAGGCTATTGCAGTGGGTGAGATCTCTCTCTCTTTACTCACCTCGAAGCCGAAAGGATATCCGCTGGAGATAAGCAGGCCCCCCGCGAGCGGCATTCCTTTTTTTGGTCTCAGACTAACAGACCGAAGAGGTTCTCTCTACGGAGAAATTTCTAAGACTCGCAGAATCGACAGGAAAAAAAAAAAAGTAAGAGAGGGCCGAGAACTCGCACTCCTCCCGCCGAGATCTCGATCTCGAAGTCTCGCGATCAACGAACGCACAACAGCGACGACAACAATAACGACAGCGAATTTATCGCACGACGACCAACTGCGACGGCCAGTTTTATCGAACAGTTTTTAGTCCGCCCAGTTTCGCCCCCGCGTAATAAATCTCTACGCATGTGTACGGCGCGAAACGGCTTACTTTTCTCGCCAACTAAAGGCGCCAAGAGACTAAACGTATATCTGGAAAAACAGCAACCATCCCAACCATTAAAACATCGACATTCATTAACGAAAAGAAAAAAGGAAACAAAAAGATATATATATATACGTGTAAAGGAGAAAAATAAAAAAATATATACACACATACACACACACACACACACACACACACACATACGCATGTACAGTAAAACGAAACGGTGCGCAGGACACAGGCGACGCAAGACAAGAACAACCAAGGCGACATGCAGCACAACATGAACATGTATATTTCTATTTTATTTACAGATCGTATCGTACAAAAATGTATAAAGTCCTACAAGATACTAGAGTACTGCTGTGTTTACCGGATAAGTTAACTTAAAGTAGCGGTTTCTCAGAGGGTGGCGTGCTCTCTTTCTCTTTCTCTCTCTTTCTCTCTCTCTCTCTCTCTCTCTCTCTCTCTCTCTCTCTCTCTTTCATCACAACGCGTCTCTTCGTCATCGTCTACCGTGACGCCGGATGCGACGTCATCACCGTCGTGAGAAACGGCACTCGCGAAACTTTTCGAATATATCTTCTCTCGGAATCACGCCCGCGGTGAGATATCGGCGATATCGATTCGCGCACGTTGCGCGTTAAATGATTAACGGCCCAGCTAAGCTTCGCGCGCGCGAGTAACTCGGCGTACCGACGGCGACTCGGAAATTCGGCGAATTATTCATCCGAAACCTTTATCTCTCTCCCTCTCTTCTCGGCTTCGAGAACTTTTTCACCGACGGAACTCGCTGTGTCAAATTGCCCGAGCATTTTCGACCCGGTCACTGTGACGAGAGACTCAACGTCGAGAATCCCGTCATTTTCGAGAACGAAGGAGACGACACTTGTTCGCGATCGATCGCGAACAACGGTTCATCCGCACGCGGTCGTTATAGACAAGACGAAGCGATGCGTGGTGCCTGATGTACAGGTGCGGTGCAGCACAGAGGCGAGAAGAAGAAGGAGAAAGAAAGAAAGAGAGGGAGAGAGTAAGAGACGTTCGTGTTGCCAATCTACATTGTGCATTCCGGGCGTGATTTCGTTGCTATTTAATGAGGGAGACGAAATAAAAGGAAAAGAAAGATACAAACAAGTCCGACGCAACTCGCGACAGCCATGCACCTGAGTGCGCCCGAAGGGGCAGGATACGAGAACGTCGGAGTCTACCTCGCGGTGCGGTGCGGTGTGTCGCGCAGTATTGACAACAAGCACAGAGATGAACAACAACAACAACAGCAGCAACAGCAACAACAACAACAACACGAGGAGGAGACAGAATCGGGAGATTAATGTCAGTAGCTAAACGGTGGTTTCCAATACCTCTCGACTGATGATCGGCTGCGCCGATGAGATGCAGGGCACATTCGTCACCACGGACGCGATAATACCGCTGGCGTTACTATTGTCCGTTATTATGTTCGTCGTGGCGGACGACATATCGGACGCGGCGCCGGACGACCAGGTGCTGGGGTTAGCTGACGGGCCCATCAACGGCGAATTGTTGCTCGATAGAACGCTGTCCGCCGAGCTGGACGCTCTTCTACGCATGGACTCCTCGCTGGACGATTTCAAGAGTTCTTTCTCACGCTCCTCATCCCTGATGCACCGCATAAAAAATGCCACCGAGACGGCGACGAATTAATGACATTATGATTTGGATTTTGATAACTCGAGAGTGACGAAGCGAGTTGAGAAAAAATAACTTGTAGCGGAGAATTTAATTCATACGATTGACATTAAGAACAATAATTCAACGATGAACAACGGTTCAATGTAAACGATGATGAAATAACGATTGAAATTCAAGTGGAAACTGCAATGAAATGTAACTGTGAAAACTGTGACTCATTTTGGAAACTGTACGTTCAAGGTTTTCGCATAATCAATAATCAATCGCATAACAATTTGCATAATCGCACTCACTTGATCTTGAGCATAATATATTTGTCAGGAATCAGCCCTTCTCTGCCAGCTAAAGCGCCTCGCCACCAGTCGTTGCTGACCTGTGTGAATAACGTCAGAGTGTCGCCCTTCTTGAAGCTCAGCTCTCTCTCGGATCTCGCGTTGAAGTCGAATTGCGCGGTGGCCTCGAGATTCTCCGATTCTAACGGACAAAACAGAACGTGAAGATATTTCTCATCTTGTGTCAGCATCGACAAGTAAGTTCGAGGTGCATTACCGTCTTCGGACGGGTAGACTTCCGAATCCATGTCTTCCTGAACTTGATCCGTCGGCGAATCTCCCACGTCCCTGAATCACGCGTAAATATATCTCGTTACGACCACTCAAGCAACGTGAAAGCCTTGGACTGGACGTCTGAGAGACGCGTGCTGAAGAATCACGTCTCTTGGACGTCTTTACGACGCCCTTCGCGTATGTTTCCCTCGTCTCGAAACACGACCCATCGCTCGCGAGAGATGGCCGGCGATAATTCCTACTTACACATCGTCCGGTTCTCTGCTGATATACTTTTCGTACTGCGTGCCGCCAATGTCCTCCGGGAAGATCTCTTCGCAGAACGTGATGATATTCTTGATCAGCTCGTTCACCTGATTCTGGTACTGCACCTGATCTTTGTCCTCGGGAACGGGCACCAAGGTTGGGCCGAAGCAGATAGCCAAGTTGTACGGGTCCATCATGTTCTCGTCCGAGAATTCCGACAGACTGCGCAATAGGGTCCGGGATTTATGCAGGTCTGGCGTTCGAATCTCACACGAGCCGACTGATACTCACTGATTGAGGAAAGCGAAGAGATAACGCATGACGATGACAACCGGCCTCGGCAAGCTCGCTATCATCTCCTTCATCTTATTGACGAAGTCTTGTTTCGACTCCAACTGCGCCAGTTCCATGAGATGCTCGAAGTAGATGATGGGGAAGAGCGGTTCGCGCAGCTCCCTTAGATACAGCTTCAACACCCCGGCGACGCTGTTGATGTCCGAGGCGTCAGTCACGTCCGCCAGAGGGTCTTCGCCTCTCTCGAACCACTCGCGGAAGTTATTGATCTCCACTTGGGAGCCGGACACGCGGAATATGCCTTGGTGGTGCAGACCGTACAGATTGATCACGCGAATGCAGCTCTTCATGATGAGCGGTATCTCCTGGTTAGTGCTCTCCAAGTACTCCTCGAGCGAGCCGCCGAACAGCTTCGGCTGACCGTTCATCTGCAACCGGCCGATTCGCTTCCGGCGAGCCTGTTTTTGTTTCGTGGCTGAGATGGACGGGTTCGGGCTGGCGTTCGAGCCGTCCAGTAGGCTCTGCCGGATGTATTCCTGTTTCGCGTCTAGCCTGGCTATCCTCGATGTGCCGAGAAGATATTCCCTGAATTTCTGCGAACACGCGCGAACAGACTGATCGCGGGCACGTCGGGCGCGAAGACATCGGTCTTGTGTCAAGAGACCAAACATCAACGTTTCTCGTCAAATGTATATTAAAATGAGGATAAACCCGGGTAAAGAAAAAGTAAAAAAAAACAAACCGGATGAAACAAGAAAGCGAGTCTCAGAGTTGTGTTGCACAAATTTTGCGATAAATTGAACGACAAGATTCAGAGTCAACTTATCTCGCGAGATAAGACGTAGAACACAAACGTCCTAATTTGATCCTATTGCGATTCCAGTTTAGATACAAACGCGAGAATGTACATCAACTGCGGCGTTGGCATCGCGCGTTTTATTTCTGCGTTCTTATCAAGGAGTCACCTTCGAGGGATCTTAACGCAAGAGGCGTTTTATTTCAGGGAAATAATCTATGGAAAGAAAAAGAGAGAGAGAGAGAGAGAGAGAGAGAGAGAGAGAGAGAGAGACGCCCTTTCTCTTTCTCTCCAAGTACCGAGCAGCGACGCGTTTTCTCAGCTATTCCCTACCTGTCCCTTTCTCGCGCTTCCACTATCCTTCGAATGCTAATGCGACAATCAATATTCTACCGCACGGCCAGGTCTTTCGCTCTCACACACCGTCGCCGAGATAGAATTCCCCGTTTACTCACTATGAGGTAGAACTCTTCGGTCTCCTGTCTGTCGGCCCGCAGCTTGATCTGCACGGTCTCCGGCGGCCTAGACGTAGGCACGGCATTCTCACCGAAATATCGCGAGCAATCGTAATCCTTGGCGGTCAGCATCTCGAGCAGACTCGCCTCCGCGGTCTCCAGCGTCTTCCACACCTCCTCGGACTCGGTACGCAACGACGTCACCCTCTGCTGCAGCTGCGCTAGCCGTTGCTCCATCTCTGAGTGCAGCATCTTTTGCAGCTCGGGCTCGGGTGTCTGTCGGGAGGAAATGTAAGCGCGGCGGTTTTTAGCAGAGCGCTCGTGCGGCTGTGCGGCTATATCTCGAGAAACGGACTCGACACAGATCGTAACGATCAAATGCATTTCTCTATTCTCGTTCGTTGACACTTGAATTACAGCTTGAATCTACAGCTAATCGATTTCGAATCGAAATGTTGCAAAAATGTCCTAAATTCTCTCGAAATTTCTCTCGACCTCCTAATAAATGCGCACTCACTACTCCATCACATGCCGTTCGATTCCCGCGTTCCCCGGGAATTTACCTATCGATTCGCTAAAGCGACATTTCTTACGAGTCAAATTACTGTTTGACTAAAATATGACGGGGGTTTCTTCTCATCAAAGAATTTAATAAAGCTCGAAGGAGAAGCCCCCTCTCTCCATGGTCGTCTCTTCATGGTTCATCATCTTTCGCCCGCTGAAATTCGCCGTTATTGCCGTACCTCATCTCCGCGTTGTCCTTGGAACTCAAACTTCTTGGGAATCATGAAGGCGGTGTGATGAGACTCCAGGAATCTCTGCTTATCCGCCCTGGAGTCGAGCGCACCGACGCAAGCGGCTAATTGCTCGGCGCCAGATTGCAGGGAACGCTGCCTGCCCTCCTCCGCGCTGCAGTGCATCAGCAATGCTCTTGCTATGCAGTTGTGAAATCCAAAGTCCATGCACTACGCAAGGAGAGCACACAGACGCACTCACGTCATTTCTGTCGTGCGATATCTGTCTAACGTGCAAACGCCGAAGCGTCGCGTCGTCGTCCGCGATTTAATCGTCGTCAAAGTAAAAGCATCTTGACGAATCAACTCCGACTGCACTTTCGTCTCGTATCAATGAATCGTATCTAAAGGGAACGGTCGATAAACAGAGAGGACTACGACAAGTGGCTGAAAGAGCCACGTGCATTGCAATTTACCGTATCTTCGTCGTATCTTGGACTGTTCGATCGGTCCAAGATCGGTTTTTGCGGTTTTCGCGCAATCGATGGGAATCAGCGAGGCAGTCGACGTGACATCGAGCTCACGACCAAGTATGGAACACACAACGTCGTGGAAATGGGATCGCCGGCGACGATTCCGTAGGGTTCATGTCGAGCAACGACGTCGTAGCCCGACGAACAAGTGCAACGACAATTACGGAGCCCGGAGAGAAAGCGCGGCGGCGGCGGCGGCGGCGGCGGTGGCGAGACAGTCGCGGGGGGTCAATGGGGTGTGTGCGTGTGAGTAACTTACGTCGATGAGATCGGACAGGTCGTCGACGAAGTATTTGTGTATCGTCGTGTTCGACGCCTCCAGGCACAGGATGTACTCGTTTCTCGCCTTGAGCGCCTTCAGCTTCGCCTCCTGGTACTTGCTCTTCCTCTGAAAGGAGATTGCGGATCAGAAGAGCGCGGGACTTTTGCTCGTGCGTGCCGCGACGCAACGCGACGCGACCGACTGGGACCGCTTAGTCTAATTAATCTCATTAATCGACCGCGACCGGCAGCAGCGTATTAATTGACCCGGTCGATTCCAGCCAGACGAGCACCGCCTGTGCGGTCGCGTCCTTTTCCCTCCGAGGATTATCCGCGATTATCGCTTTTCGTGATGCGCACGATCCAGCTGCTCGTCACTTTGCTTTCGATTATGTCACTTTACGACTATACACCGTCGCGTCGTACGCCTCCGACGGAATTTTATCTCAATCGCCAACACAATGTAACTTCCGACAGACATAATACTCTAATAACGCCGTTTTCTTTATTTTTTATTCTCGATATTTTATATTTATTTTTATTCTCGGTCAAACCGGGAAACGTATTTCTTTTCTTCAACTCGCCTACACAATCGGTAGATAGTTGTAATATTGGAGGGTAAAAGAAGTTCTTTTATCTCCATGTACAACTCTGAATAATCTGTAACTTCCATAACAATCAGCGGTATCATCCGCGTGATCAGACATTAAATAATTTAATTTTAGAGAAATTTGTCAAATCTACGTGTCCCATAAACGAGAGAACGTGCGTTCGACGCTGGATGCGAGCAGTGGCGCCGAGTGTAACGACGATAACGACGACGGCGACGAGTCGGTTGCACGTGTTGTCGATCTATCTCTCTCTCTCTCTCTCTCTCTCTCTCTCTCTCTCTCTCTCTCTCTCTCTCTCTCTCTCTCTCGATATTTTTTTTTCGACCTGCTAGGCTCCTGCTTCTCCTCCCTGGTCTTTTTCTCTCGATGTCCCCTTTACTTGCAGGCCGTTTTAACCATCTGTCTTATCACACTACAGCCGCCCAAGGGGGAGCGCTATTTATTTTTCCATCGAGCTGCATGTGCACGGCAAAAAATTCATTCTGTCAGGTCGTCCCTAAATCCTCGGCCCGCGTCTGCTCGGATTGGTAGTAGGTTGGGAAAAAAAAGACACGTACGGACAACGCGTCGTACGGATTTCGTGGAGTCTCACTTCGATTCACTTCGCCGAGTGGATGAAATCCACTCCAGGTAGGCCGAAGAAGTGCTTTGTATCTCGGGAGACTTCAGATGAACGGAGAAGCGGAGTGAATGCACTCTAGCAGAAGATAGAAACGAACGTGTTTGATGCGAAAAAAACATACGAGTGCGCTTGTGTCCTCTCAAAAGACATCAAAGGCTGGACAATATTCCCTACAAGCTTTAAGACTCTCCCTCTCTCGCACAGCCCAACGGAAAATTGAGTTTGGCCGTTGGAAATTAAGACGTGCGGCGGACGGGCCAAGTGCGACGTGAACTCGACGCGTAACATTTCGCCAATTTACGGAAAAATAATTCGAAAGATTAGATATCGCGCGGAGAGAACGTTTCTCGGAACAATATTTCCTTCGTTCTCATTTTCAGTCGTACGCGATTGTCATTCGCACGCCATTCTCGCCGACTCCGCGACTCGCGCCCCAGAATGCGCGAGAGCTGCTTTTCGAAAGGCCGGAGAGACGGGATTCGCTGCAAAGCGCGACTCTGCGCTCGATTCCGCGGAAAGCGGACGACGAGCGCCAACGAGATGGACGCGATGATGGGCAAAAAGCGGAACAATTGCCGGACTGATGACGCAGATACCTAATTCGGACATCCTGCGACTGGCCTGAATATTGTTCGGTCGACGCGGTGATGGCCGCGTCTTCACCTGGCCCCGGCCATGTTTTCGTTCACCGCACCATAATGGCTCAGCTCGATATTTCGCGGGGCTGTTATTTCCTTCTGATAATGCGCGTAGCATGCGAGGATATAAAGTGTCATCGATCGCGTCTCGCTCTAATCTTGGGCGAGGTGCGCGGTAAGAGCGGCGGCGGTAATAATTCCCGTGCGACGACAGTCGTAAATCACGCAGCGTGCTCGTGATAACGAAGTTATTCTCGGAGTAACGCACGTTTACGGAAACTATTCCGACGTTGTAATGTCCGTACTAACAAAAACATCAATTCCATATTCGCGCGTCTCCTACGACTATTGCAATGTCCTCAAAGTTGTATATATATCTCGCGAGCTTTGCGCGAATGTAAATTTCCTGAAACGTACTTTGGCTAAAATTAGGGAAATATACATAAATTCCTTCAAATCGCCACAACCGTGGAAGATTACAGAAGATGAGAGAGAGAGAGAGAGAGAGAGAGAGAGGAGGAGGAGGAGGAGGAGGAATGAGAGGGGGATCGTTCATTTTTACTACAAATCGCGCTTTGAAGACTGACTTGATTCCAGTTTCGTTTTGCAACAACACTCGCGTTTGCAATCAGCAACGACGTCCGCAGCGCGAATGGATTCTGCGAACGACGGATCTGCCGGTTGATTTTAATGATATCCTTATTGTTAAATTGTGACAGAGGAAATTAGCGGCAGCATCCGAGCCGTAATGAACGTATTTCCGTTGCACTCCTCCAAACGAAATTATTAAGACGCAGCACAGACGACAGCACTATTCGTTCCAGCTGTACTTTCAATTTCCTTTCAATCGCATCGACGAAGGCCAGACACGCAAACTTCCAGCCAGCCCCACGCGAAGTGCCCGCTCGCTTTTAAAGGGACACGAACAAAGAACACCCAATTTCTCGATATCGAGGAAACCCAAGTGCCAGAAACTTTGTTATTAATTTATCGAATCTTATTTGCACCGTTATCTCGACAATTATCTCGACAAGTTCACATCTAAATTAAATTAAAGAGCAACCCGACAAAGTTTTCGCAAAATATTTTCTCGCCTTTAAAAATCCTCCAAGACGCATCATTTTTTTTCCTCCGTATTCTCTGACCCTCTTTAAGAATCAAATTGTTGATTGTCTGAATCTGGAACATCTACGGCGGATGTTCCAATCGTCTCGAGTGTATTTGTTCCAGCATCGGTGGAGTACATTCGATTCACTCTCCAATTTCGAATGAAACTATTCGCCCCGCGATTCAGCGAAAAGAAGAATTCAATCCATAGGAGTGAAAAGCCATTCGATATCGAATGACTCGACTGTCGCTCTACTTTTCGAGCGGGATTTCACTTGGAGAAACTTACAGAATAAGACGAGCGATGCACAAAGCTATCGAGAAATTAAATAAACCTTCAAACCCGATCCCAAGTATTATCGTTTGAAACAAGCGCCCCGATTCACTCTTAACAAGTTAAAAAATACCGATGTGTGCCATCGTCCGGTCTAAAAAATAAAAAATACGCCACGACTCCCCAATGCCTATTGGCGTTGGCCTGTTACATACGAATCGTCGTGCGACAAAGCGGAAACGTACTGAAACATATTTCCCCCCTCAAGCCCGAGCTCGACGCGTCGCTTTGACTTCGCGAACAGCTGGTGGACGCGCGAATGTGAAAAAGAAGCACGTCGAATTCGTGCCGTCAAACGTGTTCATCGTCGCAAAGAGAGCCCTCTGATCGCGGACGATAAATCTTACCGCCGGCGTAAAATCACTAGCGATCTGTCGCCAGGAGCGACGATCGAGCAACCGACCGACCGACCGTTAAGAGGCCGCGTGGCCGCGTGGCCCGTTCGGTCGCGCCAGGTGCCAACAGCTGCCTGAGCGCTGAGAGAGCTGAAGAGAGGGAAAGTCATCGCGCATCGCGCGGATGCGATGACCGTCGACGAATAATTTCCATCGCGACCGCGTCGTCCGCTCGTAACGAGTCGTCACACCGCTGCCAAAAGCCGAAGGACACTCTCCGCGCGCGAACGCAATACGCCAGATTTATCCACGGCCAGGGTCGTCCCGAAAACGGCCGGTCAATTTGCGAGCATATGGCGGACGGCTTCTGCATTGGTTACGGTAAACAACGTGAGGCGCGGTGAACAGGAGGTCTACAAGGAGCTCGGTCATTAGAAGGGAATGTGTCGTTACCGGAGGAATAAAACGCGTCACAGAGCCAAGTTTTCGCCGAAGTCATCGGCGCTTCCGTCGAATTGTGTATTAGTGAGTTCGCGCACGGGGCACGACGGATTTATCCGCGGTCAGGGTCGTCCTCAAGGAGAAGAAGGGCGAATTGGCGAGCGACGCACACGTGGCTCGCCCCGGCGGAATTTCGATTCGATCGGTTATCGTAAATATACGATAAATGCAGGAGATGTGCATCAGGGGCCGTCTGTCGCCGAAATAAATATATTGTTGCAATACAGCTGATCGATTTCCACATACCGAAAATAGACAGCGATAGACACCGTTTTCCCCGTCCCGGCGGAGAATCATCACTTTAGAGAAAATGAACTCGACGGATACTCTTAAACTCGGACCGTTCGATTTCGTTCGCGCTGCATTCGACGCGAGTAACAAGCCGAAGTATATCACATTCGGGATACGCTTTACAAAGTTTGGACGCAATTTCTTTTCGCGGCACACGATCCCAGATTCGCTCTCTTATCAGCGTAACTTTGGCAGGCTGATTGCTCGAAGCAGCTGGAAAGAAGAAACTTGCACGAGCTCTCGCGAAGGTCAAGCGCTATCGAGCTACTTCAGACGTCGGCGCGAAGCGGATCTCCTCCTTACGTGTGCCTGTCGTCTCTCGCGAGAAGGCAGGCGCTCGAGAGATCTCGACCTTCAACAATTTTACCACTAACCTTGTTAACTTCCTTCTCGATGAGCTTGTACTTCTTGCTGCGCGCGAGCTTCTCCGGCGGCGCGTTCGCGACCTCGAGCTTGCTGCGTTGCTGCTCGGCGACGCGAAGCTTCGTCTCCGCCTGTCTCGACTCCGCCTGGTAAGCCTGGAAGGTCTTCATCGTAGTGTGCAGCTCGTGCAGCACCCGTAGTATCTCCTCGTGCGTTTCGTAACCAATCTCGCGACACTGAAACGAATCGAGCAGATGGATGTACTTGGATGTACTTGCGGTCTTTGTAAAGCGAATCTTCAATTCTCACCGTACGCTGAGATGAGAGTGATTGATATTTGTGGCTACAATTATTGACAATTTTACGCTCGTCTCGCTCATCGAACAATTTCAAAATAATTAAAGACGAGAAAATAATCGAGCAGCCGCGAGGAGAAAACGAAAAATAGAATCAGTATACGAATAAGAAAGCGATGAGAGAGATTTACAGAAATTCAATTACCGATCTACGAGAGCGCGCGCGGGAAGAAACGCGTCTCGCGCATGATCGCATCGACATGGACAAAGAAATACGCGACAAAACGAGTCGCGTATTATTCCAGCGCGACGTGACCGTCGCGCAGCCGACGGCGCGGCGGCCCCCGTTCCCACCTGGGAATGCGCATCGGCGCCGTGGCGAAACGTCGCCGTCGTGCCGGCGACGGAATTGAGACATTCGCGGCAATTAATTCGGCGAGACAATGGAACAGTCGAACTTCTCACGGCGCGGCGCAGCCGCGATCGGCGACGCGATATCGCGAGCCGACAACTGCAGCGGCAATCGAGGGAGAAGAGAGAGGGCGGCGATGCTGGGCGATTACGGGAGCGCGTATGTGACACTCACACGCTTGTAAATTCGCTGCACGTCCTCCATCACCTGATTGAGGCGACCCACGAGATGGGTGCTGTAGACCTCGGACAGGGCGGCGTGGTCCCGGCTGAGAGACTTGGTCTCGTTGACGAGCTGCTGCCAGCAGGCGTAGCTGGAGAACAGGGGCCATTGTTCCCGCCTGGAAAAGACGATCGATAAAGGGCGATATCTCGACGAGACGGCGGATGTTCCGTCGCGCGCGCGTATCGGCATAATTACACCGGCAATTAAATCGCCGCCGCCGCCGTCGCCGCCGCCGCCGTCGTCGTCGTCGCCGAGACAACCGATAGAACGTTGTCTTGCGGTGACCGCCACTGCCATCGTCGTCAATATGTCGTAAGCCGGGCTGCTTCGTGCTCGTAACCGCGATCGCTCCACTTACACGTTCATGCATACGCCAAGTGCGCGGATATAAAAGCGCGTATCGGTAGCGTAATGTGTTATGAAGGCGCGTCGTAACGATAAAGGCGTTTCGTTCCGCGTTCCCCGCCTGTACGCTTGTCTTTCAGATCGAGTATTACGAGAGAAATGTACTTTGTGCGGATGAATTATACAGTCGACGGGAGAAAGCTTGCGATATTTTTACCTTGATGAAATTCAAGACGCATCCGATACCCAATGAGGAGAGTTTACTCTTTTAGTCTTTTATCGAAAGTAGAGTCATTTATTTGCTTGACTCTTTCGAACGTGTTGTTCAATGTGTAACTTTTGATCAAACTGTGGTAGTCGATTAGGTAGCCAATCGACTACCTAATCACAACTTGTGTTTTGAGAATTTTTAAACAGATAAATTCTTTCGCTCCTGCCATCGACATCGATAATCGTAATCGTAATATTTTGTTCTCACATTACGATAACCGTGACACCTACGTATAAAAATGTGTCTAAAATCGATTCGAGAATAATCAACCCAAAACTATTTCGACAACATCGCGTTTAAAATCACACGCCTGTAGACATTCGGACGAATTATAGATAGCGTCCCCGCGGTGCGTCCGATGTTCTCTCGGTAGCAAAGTGTCTAAAATTGTTTCGACATTAAGAACGTCTATAAATAATAATTTTCACGTCGCAAACGGGCCGTCTAAACTCGTCCAGTTATCGACCGTAAGACCCAGTTTACACTGATTATTTTTCGCGCCAAGACACGCCGCTGCCGCAAAGGGTGAACGAATGTGTCGTGGCCGGCGCGGTGTAACCCCGGATGCGCTAAGCAAAGGAGGAGCTATCGATCCGCGATATCTCTCGAAGCGAAATGAGGGAGATGAAGAAGAGGAAAGAGAGAGAGAGAGAGAGAGAGAGAGAGAGAGAGAGGAGGGGGGGAAGCGCGTGCGGCATCGTGTGCTGGATTACGTTTACCCGTGTGTACAGCGCGGCGAGAGAAGCAGCGTCCCTTTTGTGGCCGCTGAATACGGCGCACAAAAGGGGCACCACGCGTTCAGGGTTGAATGAGAGAAGGAACTGGGGCATGTCGCAAATGCAGCAGCGGCTACAGCAGCGGCGACGGCGACGGTGACGGGGCGGGCGAATGCACGCGCGTGTACGACGCGGGGAAAAATACGAAACGCTTTTCCGCCATCGTGAAAGTAGAGCGCGGAAAATGTCAATCGCGGCCCACCCGCGAGAAAAATACGAACCGTCATGATGCATGCGATGGAGCTCGTAAGAGCGTTTGTTACGGACGGATATACCTGTTGGAAACAAATCCGTGCGATCTCGCGATATCAAGAATGAAATCAAGATCATTGAGATATATATAGTCAGCTAATTATCAAACGTTTTAAACATCTGTTGAGGATTCGTGAGATCTTGTGAGCTCCAAATGTTGTCGTTGAATCTAATCTTGCAGTAATAACGAATTTCAAAATCAACTTGAACATCAAATCGCATGAAATTTTCCAACTGTCCGATAATGACGTAATATGAAAAACGATACACATGTCTGAGCGTTTCATATGTTGCAGAAAAAAGCTTTCTTCAGGAACCCTAAAAAAGAGCCAACTGACATTGTGTGTGTGTGTGTGTGTGTGTCAATGACAGCGTAAGGAAAGCTTTTATTTGCAGCATATGCAGAAAGGCTGCCGAGAGCTGGAAGGAAGCAGAAGCAACAGTAAACGTAGCATCTCTTACTTTTGTTTCTGCTCCTTATGCCTCAGCTGTATGCTTCTGGCCATCTTGTCGAGAGACTTGCTGTAGTCTAGCTCCAGTTCCGCCCTTTTGCGGAAGAAGTCCTGGAGCTCGGCCACGAGGGCGACTTGCGCCTCCATCCTCACGTCGAGGCATCTCAGCTGCTCGTTCAGCTGTAGCCGTATGTCTGCGAGCAGAAAAAGGAGAAACCCCGTCAGTACTTGGTCGCTTCGTTCGTGACGAGCGTGTCGGGTTTCAAGGTTCGTGCGAAGACCCTGAAAAGACTTGTCACGGACTTTGCCCGGAAATTGGGCGCCTTCGAGGTGGTAACGGATTGCTCGTCGTCGTACCGTACAGGATCAAAGTTCGTCGGCCTGACGCGACAATTTCAACACGAAACGTGACTTTGTATGCGACTCTGTACTTTCTAATTTCTCAGAATGAAATCTCACTCGAAGCGAATGAAAATCCAGTCAAAGCGATATCGACGATACAATACCACCACTCGAAATCACAAAAGTGAGTGTTTAATTCAAATCTAAAAATGTATTCTTAACCAATACCATATACGGACGAATATTTCCCTTCAATTACAGCGAATTTTACTCGTAGAAATTTAGAGCATGACGAGGCAAATAATTTTTCTCTCATGCTTAATCGCATACATATTTTATAATGAAGTATTACGATTTAATTACAGCAGCGTGTTCGTTGAAACGTGTTCATTGCAAATGGGTTATTGATAAATGTCATTTATTAATCATCAGATTAATTATCAATTTCCATCGCAAGCGAGGCAGTTCGCAAAAACGAGATGTCCTTTTTTCCACTCTGACGAATAAATTCCACCGTCAGCCGATTTATTTCAATTGTACAATTTAATCGGCGGAAAATCCTTTGCGCTTGGTAGAAGGAGGAAGGAAAGATTATCACACGATATCCCACGTGGAAATTCGTCGGTCTTCACGACGATGCCGGTGGGATCGATTCCCGGCGCAAACTTGATCGGACAAACACTATTAACTTGAACGCACAAGGACCGTATTGTCTCCCGTGACACGATGCAGATTCCGATTGGGTGTCGTCGTCTCGTTACTTGGTCTCCAGTGCCGCGATCATCTTCCTCGTCCAAGTCGTTTTATTCCCGCATCGACGGTAGACAATGGTGGAGAGAGGCGGATGCTGCGCGGAATAATAATGTCTCGGGGATGACGGGCGCGTCGCGCGGCGGAGGACTTTGACACGATCGCGCGCGCGGACTTCCGACTATCTCTCTCCCGCTTTCCCGTATAATCCGTATTCCGTTAATGTTATCCGCAAGACAATGACGAGGACGACGACGACGACGACGACGACGAGGTCTCGGGTCTGCGGCGAGACGGCGCTAAAAATAGACGGTATGCGACGGACGCGAAACGATCTATCGTTTGCCGAGACAGACTTTGCCGAGACGAGGAGAGATGATCCGCGAGCGCTTACGTGCCGCGCAACGTGATTTATTGTCGCGGTCGTATCTCGTTTCCGTTCCGAACTTCCTTCGACTTTGATAATAAACGTCGCGCGCGCGCGCGCGGATACACGTTGCACACGTACGCGCGTAATCCGTTTCTGATGAAGCGCGAAGGAGAACGTCCTCAATTTCTCATCGTCTTTTTGTCGTGACCCGCGTCGTTGTCTCGGAGCGAAAGACACCGCGCGAGTTACGAACGTTCGTCGAATCGTGATCGCGCCGATCAGGGACGTTTAACTTTGTCGCGATCGGATTCAGTTTTGCTATCTCGTCCTTCTCTATTTCTCCCCTCTTTACCCGTTTGATTTTCCTTTGATTTCATCAACATGTGCCGCGAGGAGAGTCATCGGTTAGTCCACGTTAAATTTTCCGCTCGAGCCTTTTGATATTTTATTAGCTTCAAAGCGAAGTATAATCATGAAATACTCTTGAAAGTTTTATGAGACACGTGTTATTTGAGAAACATAATAACACGACAATGTGGCTCTCACCGATGTGCCACGTGATGTATATGAGAAGTCACAAAAAGGGAACGCGTCGAAAGATATGAGAGAAAGAAGGCGCTACGACCGTTTCCTTATTCGCTTTCGAAAGTCCGTAAATTAGAAGAGCAAGATAAATATACGTTAGATCCTCCCCCTGATTGAATTTTTCCCTGGTTTCTCGAGACTCGAGTTTCACTTCCGTGAAGCTTCGAAAACTAATGGGAGGTCAAAGTGGCTTGAAAGATTGTCGTCGCCCATCAAACTTTTTCCCGAAAATTTCAATCAAAATGAAAGGAAAAAAAAAGGGGGGGAAAAGCCCTGGGCCGACGGTGGTTGGAAATAACCGTCGTCATTATTGTCGGTCTTATTGTCGATCGAGCGGCAACCGACGCAACATAGTAATCTAACAGCGAGCTCACTTTGGCTGCACTAGCGCGCACTGGTGCATACCAAAAGCCATCGCGCACAAATTGACACGAAAGCATATGCATAACGTAGAGGCGACACGCCAATGAAATTTTCAGCATACATCACCATATTGTTGGTCGGAATTTACAGCTGGCCGTTTCAGCGACCGAGATACTTCACGTCTTGTGCATGCCTGCGCGCTTTGCCGCTAAATTTGCGCACCGCGCTTTTTACAGTATATCGGTCGCGTCCACAAATAAATTCGATATACACGTTGGTTTATCCGTCGAAAAGAGATTCATTCTAACGCCGAGAATACAAAATCACGCTGCGGCTAAATTAGGATTAGATTGAGTGCACTCGCTCGCTAAATGCACAAACTAGCTGATGTATGCGATCGATGTAGATTTAATTTTACCGCTAAGTTTATCACTCGACGTTGCATATAATTTAAATATAGTTTAAGTGCAATTTTATCTTATCGGGCGTGCTTTTCGGAATGGGTATGACCGCACCGGTCTCGACGCGATGCGATGCGACTCCTCCATACGACGGACTAATTAAGGTTTAAATTTGAATTAATAATCTTGTGGACTTTTTCGGAGAAATGAGTTTGAAGCCGTTATCGCACCGTGTGTGCCGCTCGATCCAATTTACAGCGTTACACTTGACAGACTGCTTCGAAGAGGCGGAAACGTTCCGATCGCGTAAGCGTCGATCAATCAGCGTAATTGGACGATCGTCGAGCAGAGGAGCTGGACGGTCTTAAAACCGTTTTTCTTTCATCGACCCGCCGACGTTTCAACGAGTCGTTAAAAAGAGCGCGGGAAAGAAACGGAGAGAGAAAGGTCTCCGGCGAGATAAACGGGACGAGCGGCAACGAGCGAACGGAACCGGAATGGTTCCTCTGTTCGTGACAGATCAAGGCGACGTCGCTTCGCATTTTCGGGAATATCGTCCGTCGTCTCGAGACAAAAAAAGAAGCCTGCGGGAGAGCACATGTCAGTCCGCTCACGTGTTACCAATTATCGAGAGCTCTAAACGGATCGGTTCATCGGCGGGTAGCCTGGGCCGTGTCGAAACTCACGAATGGACCTTTTATGAGACAGCGAGTCTCCGTCAATGTGTGTGCGATAATGTTATTTCTGGGAAATACCGAGTCCGGATGAAAAGATTCCGCCGTGGTTTTTTTTTTGCCATTGGTAGTCAGCGCGACGTGGTCGCGTCTTAATCACCACGTGATGAACTAGGTCGAGAGATAAAAAAATATGCGTTGAAATGCAGGATCGGAAAAGATAATTTTTGCAGGTGACTCGTTACGGCGTCACTCGTTGCCCATTGAAAAAAATAACTCATTAACGTCGTCTTTATTCGTTTTGGAAGAAAGAAAAAAAATCACTCGTTACCAAGTATTTGCGAGCTCTCATCTGTGGAGCTTTGCCGATTTGTTCAACGAGATCGTTCTAATTTTTAACGAGGTGACGTTAAATAAAAGATGCTTCGAGCGGAAAAGGTCGACGCGATTCCGACTCTAACAGTTTCGTTTGAATAATATCGAATGAAAGAATGAATATCGACAAAGATCCTCCGATAATCTCCGCCCACGGTCAGTCAGTTAAAATACGATATACTATATCTCGGTTTTACGACCGCCGTCAGAAAACGATTTTTTAACGATCGTAAATATATTTTGCGTCACCCACGATGATACCGCGGATATGCCAAGAAAAAAATGCGGGCGTAATTACTCTATCCATCGTGTATTACCTTATTTTCCCTTCAAAGAGAAAGACCGCTCATTATAATAAACTCTTTTTACTCGCCTCGCTCGACTCGCTTCAAGGACGGAAATTTCGTTCGCGACAGCCAACGTCTTGGAAGAACGACTAAGCCGTCCACACGGGTTTCCCTTCCAAGGGCGAGCGCCTCGATGCATTTCGCCGGACGTAGTCCTATCGATTTCCTAACTTCCGCGCGTGTGATTCATCCCTCCCGAAAGGACGGAGAGCGATCTTTGACCCCGAAATGGGAACGAGACGCAGACACGCAACCGCACGACGGAGGTAAATAAACGCACTCTCGTGTGCGCCCATAGCTTCGGGCTACGTATACAGGGTATCTCAAAGCCGCAGGACATCCACCCTCTGCGCGTAACGAACACTCTGTCCGATGCGGAATCGATTCCCCTTCGAAACGGAAACATCGAAGCTCACTGGCATGGCGGCCGCCGCGCGGTGAGCGAGAGTTGATGAAAATTCCGAGCAACTCGTGATTCTGAAGGTTCCAACGGTCACCGACGGTACCGGCCGAGACATTCTCGCCCGCCTTAATCGCTTGCGGAATAAAGTCATGCGCTCGATTGCCAGTGTTAAAAGAGAAAGTCCACGACAAAAACTCATCCCGCATTTCTAATCGCAAGCGTGAATTTCACTGCGCTGAGTTGCTTTAGATCGGCGATTACGAGTCACAAGATGACGGTTGAGAAAACGACAATTCAGAAGCGGCAACTCAACGGGATGATCTCCCGGCGTTTACAGCACGGAGATATATCATTTGCTCGATCACGAAGAAGCTATTCGATCAAAGGGAGACATCCGGCGCTTCTGGAACACTCTGTAGAGCACCCCCGCTGAGTCATCTACGTAACAAGCGAGAGGTCGATGTGTGCTGCGCGTCATCGTGGTCGGATGCACCAACTGACGAGCCGTTAGCCGATCAACGACGACGACGACGACGACGACGACGACAAGGGAGGATACGGATTGACCGGACGACATCGGCCAC